AAAAGGGTTTGATGTAATTAAAGTCTTGAGGATTATAACTTCAATGTACAGAGCCCTGTCTACATAAGACCTTTGCAGCTGAACTCTAATCTACGTAGGCCACAGTAGCGGATGATGGGCATGGCTTAAAGTTTGACCATAATATGTGATAAATCTCTGTGTGTGAAACAGCTGCAGCTGTCCTAGAATTAAATGATTCCTGACAGCAGAGCTCTCAGTTGCGCTTTTAACTTCTCTTAACTGGGGGGGCGGAGGATTTGTATCAGAAGTTTGCTGTATAAATAGGCTGTTTATGCAAATTGCTGCTAGCTTTTTTCTCTGTTGGCAGCCAGTGACCTACACTATTTCTCTAATCAAGGGCCCTCCACAGCTTAACAGAGAGGAGACCATTTATGGAACCACAAACTGTCTGATGATGAGAGCAGGGATGATGCGCCGACATGGATCCTTACATGGTTGTGACTTTCATCTTTTGATAAATGTCACTGAAGAAGAAAAAGGAGATCCCGTCTGAATCCTCTTTGTAGCCGGACGGAGGGAGGCTGGGTTAGCTTCTCTCTGCCTGACTGATCTCCCATGTAGGATATCCCTGGCAGTTTTCGTCTGTGAGCCTGTCTCCCTCTTCCGCAGCCATCTGCTCAGATCTGTGTGTTTTCTGCAGCTGCCAACATACTTCACAACACCGTGCTGTGCTTTCCAAGCCAGCACTGCCTGCCTGCTTTCCTTGCTCACGTAAGCCCTGTCTCAAGAGGGAATTCACTCAGGCTGGGGGTAGGTGGATTTGTGGATGGATAGCTTGAAGCCTTTTGTGACTCAATTTAGCATTTTGTTTGGAAGAAATTGAGGTGCATGAGACAAGCTTAACAAGGGATATGAAGCTGCATGTCTTTCATGGCTTCAGCTTGTCAGGTACGATATGGCACCATCCCCCAATCCATCCAGTGCTTATTCTTTGACTTCCACCTCAAGCTGTATGTAATAAGAATCCCTAAAACCATAATATACAATACAGTTTTAAATATATCATAAACAGGAAATGTGATATTGGCTAATATTTTCCAATAGGTTTGTGATTATTTGCCAATAAACTGCAGTAAATAAACACGGCAGTAAAACCATTTGGAAATAATGCAAGTACACTTTAAAGAGCATGTAACTGTTGATGCTCGAGGTTGTGTTCAGATCAACAATAACACGGCTTTAAAAATGTAAGCGGCTGCTTTGGTGTGGGCGTGTTGCTACGTGCTACAGGGCACCGGTAAGAAGATCAAATACAGGAAGTCCATTTGGATGGCTCATCAGATGCTAGGACACTGATCGATTCCTCTGTATGACATTACCTGACAGAGAGACAATTTGGGATTGAACATTGTACTTTTCCATCAAGAATAAATGTTGAATGGCAATTGTAGTAACACTTTCTTAATGTTGAATAGCAGTATCAACAAACAAACAAACAAACATCAATTCCTTTTTCTCTTCACTTTTCTTTCTGCTTCGTGTCCCTCTTTCTCTCTCGCTGCAGTTTTAATCTGCAAAGTGCACGTTGGACCGTTAGTGCAGTAAATCTGAACCCTCTAACTGGAGCCGGGACGAGCCTGAAGTGTACCGCAGTGCTGCAGTCAGCAGCAGCAGCATCCTCTCTGACTGCAGCTCACTGCAGGTGTCTCTGTGAGGGACTGCTGCATTGCTCTTCAATGTAGTGATCAGGTGTAAACACAACATGTTTTGTAGAATCCAAATAGGCTAAAACAGCTCATAACGTAAGTCATTAAACTGCAGAGAGGGCTAAAGTAGGCAATCGAGCTTAGAGACCCCTTGTGGTTGTTTATCCTAATTTATGCAAACATGCACTAATTGAACGGGCCAGGATTGACTCAACTGTTCACTTCAAAAGAACTCAAATATAGGACTTTTGTTTTGTTATGTAATGGGGCTTGTAATTATGTAAAAGTCTTGATGTTGACAAATGACTGTTGTTCCCCTGTTATAGATAGATAGATAGATCGTACTTTATTGATCCCAAATTGGGAAATTGTTTTTGTTACAGCAGCATAAAAGGCATTTTACAATAAAACAAAATATACAAGAATAGAAATAAAATAAAATAAAATAAAATATAAAATAAAATATAAAATATACATGTCAAAATACAAAATAGAAAATATACATACAGATATTATATATATATATATATGATGTAGTTTGATGTAGTTTGGGTGATTATTTTGTATTTATAATAACTCAAAACTGCAGTACAAATGGACTCAAATACAACTTTAGCTGCACCACAAGTATGCATTAATTGTTTGTTCTTATTGTGTCTAGCTTGTTAAAATAATGGGTGTCTTATATTCAGATCAGTTTCATATCCCTGTTGTGTAAACCTTGATTGCATCTGTAATTGCCCTGCATGGTTTGCTTTTGATATTGTAAGTGTAGCTGGTGTGTGTGCTTTCTTGCGTGCGTTCGTGCAATTAACTTAATAGATGGTCGTAGTGCTCTTCCTTTCTCTATTACTCATCTCGAGTTATTCTGGAAATCAGTGCACAGTTAATTAAGAATGACCTTCATTCAAGGACAAACCAGATATCTTTGCATTTGACTATTTCCTTCTTGTTTAACTGTAGCTAATGCAATATTATGTAGCTTGGCTTAGAACGGCAACAAAAGCAAAACTAGGCACACTGACTTTATGACTGGTTAGATCTATATAATGTCAGTCATGTAAAATATCTATACATTCTTGCATATTTCTTTAAAACCTATATCCACATTAAAGATTATTTTCCATCATCAATCTAATTGTGTTAATATTTGTATTGTTAACCCTACAATATTCTCACAATATCAATACAAGGGTATATGATTAATAATATTGTAATATGTGTTTCTCCTTATCTCCCACCTACAAGAAAGTATGCTTTCAGAGCCCCCCCCCACTCAACCCACTGTGTTCTCTGATCCGCATCAAAGACGGATAATCCAGGAGGACTTTGCCGCTCTGTGTGGCAGATTTACCACCTCTCCTTTTATTGGGGTCAGGCCATCATCATCACCTGGTCTCAGTCTGACTGGTGTCCCATTGTGTTATGATTGAAACCAACGGGCAGTGAACGTTGAATAGGTCCTTGGGAACATGGGACACCTCTCAGCCGGGGAAATTGATGTGAGGAGAAAGTCACCTTCATGTTATCATTACGATGTCGTTACGAGCATGACTCACGAGAGTGCAGCCACTGGCGAAATAGGGTAGCATGGGCTGCTCCGCTCACAGCTCTGTCAGGGTGACATCGACTCCACTCTCTCCGCCACTCTCCTCATTTGATTTGATCCGCTACAACTAAACCGGGCTAAAACCTCAGCAGTGCCACTCCCCTACCTCTCCTGCACCATTATTGAATTCAAATGTCCTGATAAGGCAGCTCAGATGTGTGTTAATGGTATCTGACCACCTATCTTACCCTCATTGATGCCCAGCTCTGTTGCTATAGTCCTCTCTACAGCAGTGGCCTGCACCACGGGCAAACACTTTGAATTATTCATAGATTCAAGTCGCTCTTAGCGGTGGATCAGCTACGGTCTGAAATCGTGCACAAACGCATGATTAACCAGGTTGATGAATTATGATCAAGATCTTCATAATCTGTGAGGGTTTTTCTGTGTTGTGATAATCCTTCTCTCTGTCTGGTTAGTTATTCTGAGTATTCCAGACTGGTGTACTAAAGCCTTTACAGTGAGTGTATATCTTAAAAACTGTAACTCATAGCTGTGGGAAACTACAGGAATGATGTATTCATTGTGCTTGTGTCGGCAGTGTGAGGACATGATGCCATCTAGTGGTGGAGGCATTAAGCAATCCTTTGAAAGATATGACACAATGTCAAATACCTTCACTTACCCCTCTCTTTTAGACTATACATCTAATGTTTATTTTATATTAAAGGTTATTTTCTAAATTCCATGAAACAAACAACCAAATAAAAGTAACATGGTCTCAAGAGGCACATTTATTGGATTGCATTTTGGTAATCTACAACTCTGCAGCACTTGTTGAAGAACATCTGAATCTAGTTCTTTTTGAGGTTAGCTAATGGACTCTGTGGTCTTTGCAGAAATGTACATCCTGGACTACACTCAGGTTTCCATCTATGTGAAGGATGCCTGAGATCCATTTTGCTTTAGACAGTAGACCAGTTATGTGATTCCAGGCAGGGTCAATGTCGAGCACTTTCTCCTTGTTTTCTTTAATGACCCTCTCATGCTCCTCACCCATCTAGGATGTGTTGAACGTTTAATATGTTCAATGTCTTTATTGGCAGTCTTTTAGTGTTCATGGTCGAACATGACCAGGTAGAAATTGTGATCCGTAATGTGATGAGTCTCCTGACATAATTTGTTGTGGCCTTAATTTTTTCTTGTCTTCTATGCTCTCTGCACTGTTATTGCTATAATCTCTAACTAAAAATAATGAATGGGCGGAAATGATGATGCATTTGAGTACAATGCTTGCCACTGATGTAGGTGGGAGCTATATTTTCCTAGCACTACAGCTATTTTCTGACTCGTAAAACCTGATGTTCTGAATTTCCACCTTCATCAAAAGGTCCACAAGTTCTTCATTGATATCCCAAACAATTGATTTGTAAACCCAGTTCTAAGCTGAGCTACTGAACAGCATGGCATGAATATGTGAACATTTTCTCTGAGAAACAATGAGAACGGGTTAGATGGGAGTGTTTGTTCTTCTGAGCATTGCTATCCACAGCTGAAACACGGCTACACAGAGTCGTCTGTGGACAGTTGCATAGTATGAAATATTAGTAATATATGGATTATTTTGGTATTTTTGTTGATAACCAAATAAATGGATAATAGTAAGATGAATAATACAGTACTTGGGTGGGCCAAATATAAGCTTTATGGACACAGATTTGATCCTGTTTGGTAAATAAAACTTCCATCATAGACTGACATCAGTGTCTCTCTCTCCTGTCCAGAGGCCCTGATTGGTGATAAAGTGTCCCCTGTGGTCCCGGTGAAAGAACACCACCCCCGGCAGGCTGGCCACGCCCCCTCCCTCCTGCCTCCATGTATCCTGAATCTACCACAGACTCCCCCGCTCGCCTCTCCCTCCGACAGACTGGCTCCCCGGGCATGATCTACAGGTGAGTAAATGGGCGGGTTTTATTTACAAAGACACAACATGTTTTATAAAATTGCATGTATGTCCATTGGCCAGTTACTAAGGATGTATCAATTAACAAACTATTTGAATGAACCATTTCATTAAAAATGTCACCAATTATTGTTTTAAAGTAGTTCATTTCATAATTAAATCTGTTACTTTACAATACACCTTCCCAAGGTGCTTGCTTGGTAAATGCAAACGGTAGTAAGCATTCTCCATACTGTGCAAACTGAAAATGTAGGTGTGTTCAGTGTCTTGTCTCCATCAACTACATCCTCACAGTGATCATAGATATTTATATTGCATTTCTATAAGGCCCGCAAAGTAATAATTATTTTGCAACCACCAATAATTACACAAACTATCTTTGTAAATAACTCATACACAGGCACAATTGTTTGGATCCATATTTAGGAAATTGTGATTCTTTTTTGAACATGTTAATTTGTGGAGGTTTACCTATATTCCCCTAACATCAACATTACCCTAATAAAGACAGAAACCATCTTTTTGTGTATATACATTAAGGACAACAAAAGTGCTTGCAGTCACTAACTGCTAAAAGTAAGTCTGAAACAGGTCCTCGAAATGAAAACGTAGGACAAACCACACAGGGCATCTGCAGACATATTGCAGCATATTTAATTATCATTTGTCTCAATAGCGTTATATTTAACCTGCAGAAACAGCACGTCCATGCCTTATGTAGAGACTATCCTGCACTCTAAGGTTTCACCAGCATGTGGTGCCAATGACCCATCATCTCAAAAAGCATCTGTTCCACTCTTCTTCTTAAGCAGCTTTATGGCAGTGTTTCACATTACCTCCACTCCAGCCAGATGGGCTGCAGGGACATCTATCGGTTTGGTGATACTTTACTGAAGTCATTTGACAGCTATTGGTCTCGTAACAAGAAAACATCTTGGCATAACATCTGACTTGATGTGATGTGAGACATAAAGAGAAAGTATTTTCCCTTTACTAGCTTACACCAACTACTTTTACCTGGTTTTAAAGTTTTCTTAGCTCTTTTTAAAGGTAACAAACATCAAAAGGTGTTAAGTGTAGCTGGCTTTGTGATGACCGACTTGTATTTGTTGTAGAGCCGCCCCATACAGCCTGGCTAACACAAAGAGCATAGAAATCCTGTCAAATACTGATAGTGATTATTAAATAATATTTGTTGTAAGTATTACGTCGGATATATAGCATTTTTTCTGTTTTGATGGTTGGTTCAACATTTGGGATTTTGTATTTGTGTGTGTTTCTTTCATTAAAACCTAAATGTTATAATGCACATGTCTCTACAAAAATATTTTGAGGTAAGCACTCCATATGAAAGACAACAGGAATGGGTTATCAATGATGATTGCTTGTCAAAACACAATAGCTTTCTTTCAAGAACAAGGACATGGTCAGTGTGTTTGAAAAGAAACCTCTTGTACTGAAGGAACTCAAAGATAAGAACTTGTGTTTTTGGCACAAATTAAATGTAGAGACTGAATGGACTGCTGGCTTGCTCTTGTCTGTAACTTAGAGCCAAGCTAAACTTGAAAAGACACAATCATCTAATGTACATTACAAAATGATTGCTTATCTATTGTACATTATTCTCATTTGATTAGAGTGTGATGTATCCAGGTGGATGTATAAATAGAGTGGTGCAGTGATGACATATTTTTGTAAGCCGACCAAGAAGCTTAAATCGCAAGAGCTTCCTTAGACAAAAATACATTAAACATTAGGGTATTTACCGACGTGTTTTATGTCAAATCTTGACAATTTCTTAAGTTTGTGTAAACATTAGACCTTTAAGAAGAGATCAATCAAACAACACGTTAAAACAATCTTTTTGAGATGAGCGAAACTAACTTCTGGGTTATAGGACTCATTCCTGCACCACTTTTGTCTTCAATGCACCAATAACAGGCCTTTTCAAGTAGTAGTATCATAACCATTTTTATTAGCACTATGCAGTGATTATGATTTATGGGCATTTGCTCAGACATTTCCTGCAGGTTTTGTGATTACTATATTTATATCAATGTGTCTGTGATTTCTAATGCAGAATTTTCTGTTTCCTTGCTTTACTCTCTCACATTTTTTAGCGTCTTTGGCAGTCAACACCTTCCTGTCTGTATCCAATTTTCCCAACTACTAACTTCTTTCTTTTCCTGCTTATATTAATCAAAGCTTTCCTTTTTCCTCCTTTCCCCTAATGTCTTCAGCGCTCGTTATGGGAGCCCCAAACGACAGCTGCAGTTCTACAGGTACCTGTCTGTCTCTGTATCTGCCATCACTGTTTGTTGTTGCAAAGCGGGGGTTTTCAAGAGAAGGCTTTCGCTTTTTTGGTTTTGTGTGTGTGTGTGTGACAAGTGTTTTTTTCTTCCTTACTGTATGTGTATGTATTTATAACACTTTGTGCTTTCTGTTTTATTTCACTATAATAACCTTGCTGTGGACACTGTGGTTCTGTCATTTAAAACTATACATCCATCAATAACCCTCTGCAGCATAGATAACACTCATCATCTTCTATTTAGCTGGCAATGCATTATCCAGCTTAAACCTGATAGGGTTGATGATGGATTGTGTTGCAAGGTTGCTCGCAAAAACCTCTGAATCAACAATAACCGGCTAATTTTTGTGTTATGTCTTGTTTTTTTTCACAATTCTTTTGTTGCAATGAAACTTGAGACACCTCGTGTTCCTGTCAAACTGAAACTTGTGACCAAGAAACTCCTTACAGAACTGATTTCTAGACACTTTTTCTTCTACCTCGGCATGATTAGGCAGATAGTAATTTCCTTTAATAATCATTTCTATATGAAACTATAAACCTTTTGGACCTCAAGGGAGTTGAACCGGATCCGTCAGTGTGCGAGATGAGACGAGTACGGCTGCTATACTCACTCCTCCTGTAGTGTGGCTTTTAGATGGTCAGTCTTTCTGCTGCTTAAAGTAGGATCATGTTTTATGCTCTGATATCAGGCCTTACACTGCTGATCCAGTTATAAAAACCCCTGACTGTGTGGATGTGCCTGTAATGAGCTCACTATCGGATTTTTCTCTTGGCGCCTTGCAAATTTCTGTCCTTTTAGAGTGCAAACCGTCCCACTAGCTGCTCCCCTGGCCTACTGTGTATGAGGGGGATCGATTAAGACCCCTTTCTCCACCCATCTCATAAACCTGACAGGCTGATGCTGGGAACAGAACCTTTTTATCCTTTTCAGTCATCTCAACAATGTATCACACAATTTGTATAATGGCTACTACACTTGGTGCTACTCACCAGGATGCAAAGGAAGTCTGAAAGTAGCCTAGTCAAAGTCTACAATCTTCTACCCCACCTCATCTTAGTGATAATTAATATTTATTTTCATCTGTTTTTCTGAATTATCAAGCATGAGATGTAGATCTGCACTGTTATACGTGATCTATTAAGAGCCCGTTTGGGTTTGTTTTTATTATTCTGTATTAAGAATGGTTTTAGTAAAATATTTCCGGCTCTGGCTATCGTAAAACCATTTGATAGTTTTCAGTGGACTGAGTGCTTTACAATGGTGAAGGTAGTTGACTTCTAACCTCTCCATGTCCCATGTGTATGGATTAGGGAAAAGTACACAATGTACTGAAAAACAATAAGAAAAAAACATACTTTAACGCATCCCAAGTGTCATAGGATTATGTGTAATTTAGAGATGTTACGGCTCGTAATTCAACATTTTGAGCTAGCTGATTTTGGTTTTAAAAAACATTTTAAGGGTGGTAAAGTCTCAACTATGAAAACCACATTTTCACTTGTAGAACTGATAAATTGATTTCAAGAAAAACATGGTTTTTACTAAATGGAGAATAACCAACATTTAGGAAGTTTAAATATTGTTTTCTCAGTAGCATCACTCGTCATATATCAAAATAGCTCACCAGACGGTAGAGTCTTGAAAAGTCTAAAAAAGCAATAAATATAGTTTTCTGTAAAAACAAATAAGGCATTCGTAGGTATCAAAGAAAGATATATGCCATACTAGTTTATTTTGTCATTGTGAAAGTGAAACAGGATTTAAATGGCATTCTATGTTGTACCTAAGTACCTTTTTATATGTACAGTCTACGGTGATTACACAGCACCAAAAGTATGCAGCTGAAGGCAGATGATGTGCTTTTAGTGTATTTGTTGAGATATTGATATGGAGTACTTATTACTGACAAATGTGTCTGAAGTCAGTGGCTATTATTGTACTATAATTGTATACACTTATATAAATTATACAGATAAACAGCAGTGTCCATTAGTGTCAATTGTCAGAGATGACGTTCATCTCAGTACATTGGAATGCATTTATCTGTGTAACTAATGAGGCCAGTAGAAAGCTTGGTGCCTGAAATGTCTCCGTTGAGTCATTATTACAAGAAAACCTCAGATTCTGACCTTGACCTGAACACAATACTGTGATGTGGAGATGCAGCAAGGCACACTTAACCGGTGGCCATCTCATGATTACTTGTTTAGAGAGAACTTGAACATTATCGGTGTTTATTTTTTCTTGTTGTCTGTGTGTATGTAGTAGTATATGTGTGTGTGTTTCATGTGCGCACAACACTCAGTGCGGCAGGCCCTCATTATTGTCCAGCTCTTAGTATTCTTTCCTGTGGAACAACAATCAGAGGCTTTTAGTGCAAAAGCTCTGGTGAATAATTCAAGGCTGATATTATTTGCTGCGGTTGGCAGAAACAAGACGGGCCACTAAACGACATAAATGGATTTCTTCCACGAGATCTCACAGGGAGGGGAGGAGGAGAGGTGTTGGTTGTGGCACTAGAGTATGGTCCAAGTGGTCAGGGGAGGGAAAGGGATGCACTCTCTGAATCACTAATTGCTTTAGACGTTTCCTAGTAAGACACTCCCAGTTTGGGTGGACCCGCTCCATCTCTGTCTGCAGTGTGTGTTTATAAGAGCAGTCTGCCACCCGCAACCTCGCTCATGAGCCGACCCGCAAGAAATCGGGTGAGTTTGAGGAGAGATTGGCTTTCATGACCACACAAGAAGAGCGTTTGCGTGAGTTTTGTGTGTAAGGGGTTGGCAGAGTGATGTGGAGTGTGTGTGGATGCATGCTGCCTAGCTTGAAGTCTCCTCCTTTATTTGGGTCTTCTGTCTCTGAGCGAGGAAACCAGCTGTTCGGGAAATAAATTGAGAATTTGTTGGAGAGATCGAAGTCATGTCGTGTTGGTGTCAAAGGTTTGACAATCTTTTTTTCTTCCATGTTGGAATTCCAAACTGATGTTTATGGAGGGTCTCTGCAGTCTGTATTCTGTAGTAGATGTGTTAGATTTATTATTGGTTAATTATCACCTAAAGACATAGCTTTATGTTAGTCTTGTGGTAAGAGTGTACTGTTTTGTACAGAGGCAAAGAAAGTGATGATTAAGATTTGTTGACTTTTAAACAATTAATCAAGCTAAGAGTTGATAAAATATAAAATATAAGTAAAATATAGCATCCTCATTCTCCGGTTATTATAAAAGGTAGTTACTCTGTATTTACAGTGAACCAAACTGATCAACAAGTATCGTTGATGGCAGAGATTATAAAATATATTCCATTTCAAATGTGATGTTTATTTGAATTGGCATGTTGAAAATCCTTGTCTTTTGTTAATATTTACCGAATAATTTGGCTACATTATAATCACTAAATCATGACTATAGGATGCTTAATATATCTAAGAAAGAGATGTTCCTGGAATTTGGACTAAGCATTTGTTTGAAAAGTGTTTTTGTTGCTGGTAAAATGTTTTCAAGCTCCTACTACAATTCTTTATACATTAATACAATTGTGTCTACAATCTATATTTTAATAGACGTCGTATTAAGAGTATATGGGTGCTAAATTACAAATCATCTGGAGTTTAAAGTATTATAATATTAATAATGTATTAATATACAATTGCAGTCTCAGCGTTATACAGTACATTGCCTTCACTGAGAAAGCAGCTATGTTGCAAGTGCTCAGTATTGCATTCAGCATTACAGTAAGTACCTTCTTGTATTGATGGTGAACCTGTCTCAGTGCTGCCCTCTGTTGATTAAATCCAACACAGCACTCTGTACATTAGAATCTTAAAGGTATCAAATAACCTGAGCAAAAGTACATTAGTTTTTTAACAGAAGAATAACTAATAAATGGTCAAAAGGAATACTTTTTGAAATGGAAAACGCAGTCCCTTTAGGCTCCCTGAACTCCTGAACCTGAAATGAAGCCCAACTGTAGATTAAAGATCGATGACATCAAAGTGCATATCATGCCGTTGTTTTGGGATTGTTTTAAAGCTTGAGCCAATCTCTTTCTTCCGGTGCAGATAAGCTTGTGTGCCTTTTGTGGGAGGCACTCAAATTGAATTGTGGACTACCACTCTCTGGCCCTTGGCTCTTCCTCTAACTCCAGTCAGAATCAGAAGTGAGACCAGGTTGTCCCCTCGTGCTTGGTGCATGTTTGAATGCCTCTTCTTTGCAGATAGCATGTGTCCTCTTAAGTCCTGCTCTTTAATCACCAGCAAGTCACCTGAATGCTCCCTATCAGTGTTACCCTGCCATTGTGTACCTGTGAGGGGAGGGTGGAGCGGGGCTCTGTTGTGCGACTCTGATTACAGGATGCATGCCGTCCCAAGCAGGAAAGCTGTTTTTTTTAGGAGCAGGTGCTATTTAAGGAGGTGGCTGTCCTCTGCGGACTCCTCACTCCATCTACTTTAATCTTAAGTGCACGGATTGCCTCAGCATCACAAGTTGAAGGAGGTGGGGGGGGGGGCATGTTTGCAGGAGGGTATGCGGGTGCCTCTGGGGGGATTCCGGGCCGGAGCAAGTCCAGTTACTGTCCTCCTGAAAACCTGCAGATCCCCAAACCGGCAGTGCCAAGCGGGCTTCGAAAGAGCAGCAGCAGCAACAGTGGCAAGATGCTGGCCATGACATACAGCGACAGCATCCGGAGCGGGATCAACCGCTACCACTCGGACCAGGGGCTGAATCAGCCCCCCGCCAAGCCCCCTGACCCGGTTGAGCTGCAAAGAGTCCGGGAACAGAGAGTCGCCGCTCAGATAAAGAACATGGAAGACTTCCTGAAGATGAATGGCCTGGCCCTGGAGGAGTGTGTGTCCTATCAGACAGGCATGAAATACAGGTAAGAGAGGGGCAGAGCTGGACAGGGACTCGGATGCAGCAGAGACCTCATCAGAGGTGGGGTCCGAGAACCAGCAGCTTTCTTAGTAGATACTTC